TGTGTGTGTGTGTGTGTGTGTGTGTGTGTGTGTGTGTGTGTGTGTGTATACACGTACCTACTCACCACTGAGGGGTACTTGTGGCGGGCCGTGTTCGAGTGTACCCAGTCTATGCGCTGCCTGTGAGGAGAGGGTGGTGCTGCAAGGTCTCAGTTGTTTTCCTGTTTGTTTCTTTTGCTCACTTGCTCTCTCTCGTTCGCACTCTCTCTCTCTGTCTCCCCCTCTCCCTCTCGTGCCCCCTGTCTCTGAGTGACCTTTTCTGTTCTTGATTCCAGGAGTTCCTAGTTGCCCTCAGACTACAAGGTGCCACCCTGTGCCACCGAATGGCCTTAACTAACCAGAGCTGGCACGAGCAGGTAAGAAGCAGGGGGTACCCACCCCCTGACTTTTACTTAACTCATTCCTTGGCAAGACCTCCAAACAGCAGGTGGTGGAGTGTACCTCTGGGCGATATCTCTCTAATAAGAACAGCGAAAGAACTTATAGTGATTGGAGCAAGGTTGGCCAGATATCATGGAGTATGAGTTTCCCAATTGGGGCTGTTAACCCGGGGCCAATCAGGGAGCCCTGGCTGACAGATATAAACAGGAGTGTCAGGGATTCTCCTCGCTCTGAGGACTGGCTCTAAACTAGCTGGTCATAGTCCATGTACTGTGCACTTGTAAGTAAAGGCTGCCCTGGTGACGGGATAAACAAAAAACATACAGCACAAGAGCAGGCCCTTCGGCCCTCCAAGCCCGTGCTGACACACGTTGCCTTTCCATTACTAAACCTGTCTTCAGTTACAGGATCCGTATCCCTCTGTTCCCTTCCTATGCTTGTATTCGTCCAGCTGCTTCTCAAATGCTGCTATTGTGTCTGCTTCCACCACTTCCTCCGGCAGTGCGTTCCGGGCAATCATAGAGTCACAGAGCTATACAGCAGTTCAACTCATCCACGCTGACCCATTATCCTTAATTAATCCAGTCCCATTTGCCAGCATTTGGCCCATATCCCTCTAAACTCTTTCTATTCATGTACCCATCCGGATGCCTTTAAAATGTTGTAATTGTACCAGCCTCCACCACTTCCTCTGGCAGCTGGTTCCATACACGCACCACCCTCTGCATGAAAACATTGCCCCTCAGGTCCCTTTTAAATCTTTCCCCCTCTCACCTTAAACCTATGCCCCTCTAGTTTTGCACTCCCCCACCTCAGGGAAATGACCTTGTCTATTCACCCTATCCATGCCCGTCATGACCTTATAAACCTCTATAAGGTCACCCCTCAGCCTCTGACGCTCCAGGGAAAATAGCCCCAGCCTATTCAGCCTCTCCCTGTAGCTCAAACCCTCCAACCCTGGCAACATCCTTGTAAAAACCAAAAGAACTGTGGATGCTGTAAATCAGGAACAAAAACAAAGTTGCTGGAAAAGCTCAGCAGGTCTGGCAGCATCTGTGGAGGAGAAAACAGAGTTAACGTTTCGGGTCCGGTGACCCTTCCTTAGTTCTGAGGAACTTTGTTTTTGTAACATCCTTGTAAATCTTTTCTGAACCCTTTCAAGTTTCACAAAATTCTTCCTATAGCAGGGAGACCAGAACTGAATGCAGTATTCCAAAAGTGGCCTCACCAATGTCCTGTACAGCTGTAACATGACCCTCCCAACTCCTATACTCAATGCTCTGACCAATAAAGGCAAGCGTACCAAACACCTTCTTCACCGCCCTGTCTACCTGCGACTCCACTTTCTAGAAATTATGAACCTGTACTTCAAGATCTCTTTATTCAACAGCACTCCCCAGGACCTTACCATTTAGTGCATAAGTCCTGCCCTGATTTGCCTTTCCAAAATGCAGCACCTCACATTTACCTAAATTAAATTCCATCTGCCACTCCTCGGCCCATTGGCCCATTGGCCCATCTGATCAAGGTCCCATTTTACTCTGAGGTAACCTCCTTTGCTGTCCACTACACCTCCAATTTTGGTGTAATCTACAAACTTACTAACCATACCTCCTATGTTCCCATCCAAATCATTTATATAAATGACAAAACGCAGTGGACCCAGCACCAATCCTTGTGGCACACCTTTGGTCATAGGCCTTCAAGCTGAAAAGCAACCCTTCACCACCACCCTCTGTCTTCTACCTTTGAGCCAGTTCTGTATCCAAATGGCTAGTTCTCCCTGCATTTCATGTGATCTAACCTCTCTAACCAATCTATTGTGAGGAACCTTGTTGAATGACTTACTGAAGTTCAAACAGATCACAACCACCGCTCTGCCCTCATCAGTCGTCTTTGTTACTTCTTCAAAAAGCTCAGTCAAGTTAGTGAGACATGATTTCCCACGCACAAAGCCATGTTGGCTATCACTAATCAGTCCCTGCCTTTCCAAATACATGTAAATCCTGTCCCTCAGGATTCCCTCTGACAACTTGGCCCACCACTGATGTCAGGCTCCCTGGTGTATAGTTCCTTGGCTTTTCCTTACCATCTTTCTTAAATGGTGACATCATGTTAGCTAACCTCCAGCCATTCACCACCCTTTGTGTGAAAAACTAGCTTTGCACGTCTCTTTCAAACAGCACCCTGCCCCTCACACCTTGAACCTGTGATTGACCCCCACCCACCCTGGGAAAAAGCCGAACTTTCCACTCTATCGATGCCATTCACAATCTTATAAACTTCTATCAGATCTCACCTCAACCCCCTGCATCCCAGTGAAAACAAACCCAGTCTATCCAAACCTTCTTCCTAGCTAAAATCCCCCATATCAGGCAACATCCTCATAAACCTTTTCCGTACCCTCTCCAAAGCATCCACATCCTTCTGGTAGTGAGGTGACCAGAACTGTACGCAATATTCCCAGTGTGGCCTAACTAACTAAAGTTCTGTAAAGCTGCAACATAACTTGCCTATCCTTATACTCACTTGCCTTCATTGGAAGGGGCATTATGCCATAGGCCATTTTTACTGCCTTATCTACCTGCGGAGCCACCTTTAGTGATCTGTGGAACTGCACACCCAGATCCCTCTGTATATCAATACTCCTAAGGGTTCTGCCATTCACTGTAGAATTTCCACCTGTACCTTACCTTCCACATTTGTTCAAATTAAACTCCATCTGCCATTTTTATGTCCATGCCTCCAATTGATCTATACCCTGCTGTGTCTTCTGACAATCCTCCTCACTATTCACGGTGGCTCATTGGTTAGCACTGCTGCTTCACGGTGCCAGGGACCCGGGTTCGATTCTACCCTCGGGCGACTGTGTGGAGTTTGCACATTCTCCCCATGTCTGCGTGGGTTTCCTCCAGGTGCTCCAGTTTCCTTCCACAGTCCAAAGATGTGCAGGTTAGGGTGGATTGGCCATGCTAAATTGCCCCATAGTGCCCAGGGATGTGTAGCTTAGGTGGGTTATAGGGGGATGGGTCTGGGTGGGATGCTCCAAGGGTCGGTGTGGACTTGTTGGGCCGAATGGCCTGTTTCTACACTGTAGGGATTCTATGATTTATTTGCAACTCCATCAATCTTTGCAATGTTTGCAAACTTACTAATCGGTACTAGATACCGGCCTCCATGGAGTTATTTCAGAACTCAGGTAGGGAGAGTGTCTTTCTGGTAAAGTTGTGGAGGCTATTTTCCTCTCTCCTCCGGAGCCAGACTGTTAAATCTCACCACCGTTTAATGGGGGGCTCATGTTATATCGGATGAGGAATGCAGTTGGGAGGGGGTGGGTGCTGCTGTTGCAGGTTTCTGTCTGGAATTTGTGGCACTGGGAGGTGTGTGTGTCTGTGACGAGGTCTTGGTCTCTCAGCCTCTGTTCTTCACTCTCTTTCGTAGCTGATGGATTTCTTCGATGTGTTGGATGACCCGATTCTGGGCTACACCCCTCCTACGGTGATCACAGTCCTGCACACTCACCTGGTCAGCTGCGCTGTCGATTACAGGTAAACGGTGCTGGGAATGTCTGTTTCTGCTGTTCTCTACCTCTTTCCTGCCTCCTAAACCCTTCGATCCTTTGGTAGGTGGGTGTTTCCCTCCCCTCACCCTCAGTGACCAAGCTGTCCCTCCAGCAGACAGAGTACCCACTCTGCGCAACCTACCTGGGGATGTGGCACATAGCAGAACAGACCCTCTCCCAGGCCGGCTGCCAGCTGAGCCTAGTATCTCACTCCTGGCTCTTGGGATTCTGTTGACGGAGTCCTCCTCTCTCTCTCTGTGTTCCCTCTGCGACAGGTCAACTGGAAACCCTATCTGTGCAGGTGGCAGTAAGGCAGCTACACACGGAGCATTCTCCCCTCTCTCCCTCACCGACTGCCTGCCTCTCTGTCTCTCCCCTCACTGCCTTTGTGTCTGCCTCTGTATTTTTGGTCTTTCTGTGTCTCTCTTGCTGATCACAATCCTCTCCTTCACTATTCTCCGTGAGCCTCCCTCTCTCGCTCTCATTCTCTCTCAATCTCACTCTCTCTCACCTCTATTATCATGCCATATCGAGAGGGATATTGGCCAAATGTGAGGAGGCAATGGCCTAGTAGTATTATTGCTGGACTGTTAATCCAGAGACACAGATAACATTCTGGGGACCCGGGTTCAAATCCCACCACGGCAGATAGTGGAATTTGAATTCAATAAATATCTGGAATTAAGAATCTAATGATGATTGTGAACCCATTGTCGATTGTCAGAAAAACTCATCTGGTTCACGATCATCATTTGATTTAAAGTTTTAGCAAAGGTTTGTAGCTCGGGTTGTGGGGGAGGTTGTTGACTTGCTCACTGAGCTGGCTTGTTCTTGTTCAGACGTTTTATCACCATGCTGGGTAACATCATCAGTGATGCCTCCGATGAAGCGATGTTGTTCTACTCTGTTTGGAATTTATACTGTCTGGTCCATTATGGTGAGTACTTTCATTTCTGGTTTTGTTCTATAGGGGACAACGTAACTATAGTAGCCCAAGCCATGCACGGGAATTCCTAGAGGCATGGTTCTCAACCCATAATGCAATCAACAAATATACAGAATTGGACCCCATATACAAACCCATATAGAACAAAACCGGAAATGACAGTACACACCATAACGGACCAGACAGTATAAATTCCAGCGGAGTAGAATAACATCGCTTCAGCAGAGGCCTCACTGATGATGTTACGCAGCATGGTGACGAAACGTCTGAACGAGAACAAGTCAACAGCCTTGACCATCATTTGGCCCACATCTCTAGGATATCCTAGAGAAACTCTTTCCCACCACATCTCAATGTGTCTGCTTCACCGTTTTCCTCCTGTGACAGTCTCCCTCTCCCTTCCAAACCACTTCTCTTATATAGAGATAGTAGGAACTGCAGATGCTGGAGAATCTGAGATAACAAGGTGTAGAGCTGGATGAACGCAGTAGGCCAAGCAGCATCAGAGGAGCAGGAAGGCTGACGTTTCAGGCCTGGAAGAAGGGTCCCCTCACCCACCCCCCCC